TCGTTTTCTGCCAGACACTTTCCAGCCACACTTTCCCAAGCTTGGAGCATTGCCTGGGGTTGTTGTGGCCCAAGTGCAGGACCTGGCCCTTGGCTTTGTTGAAGCCCAGACCATTAACATTAGCCCAACAATCTAATCTATCCAGGTCTCTCTGTATAGCCTCCCTATCCTCATGCAGATCCCACCTAACTTGGTGTAATCTGTAAACTTACTGTTAATACACTCTATGTCCTTATCAAGATCATCAATAAAGATGTTAAACAGAAACAGTCCCAACACTGAGTTCTGAGGAACACCACTTGTGACTGGCCTCCAACTGGATTTGACTCCACTGACCACCACTCTTTGGGTCCAGCCAGTGCTTGATCCAACAGATCGTGTGCACATCCAGGCCATGAGCAGCCAGGTTTTTTTTATGAGAGTTCTATGGGGAACCGTGTCAAACACTTTTTGAGGGTCCAGATAGACAAGATCCACAGCCTTTCCCTCATGCAATAGTCAGGTCATCAGGTTATAAAAGGAGATCAGGTTCATCAGACAGGACCTGCCTTTCGTTAACCCATGCTGACTGGCCCTGATCCCCTGGTTATCCTCTATATGTCTTATAATAACACTCAAGATGATCTGCTCCATGACCTTCCCTGATACTGAGGTCAGACTGACAGGTCTATAGTTTCCATATATAGTTTTGTGCTGCAGTAGATTCTTAATTCTAGGAACCATTTTCTGAAGTGAATTTGGACAGGGCATCCAGTCTACCTTTTTTGATAAAACAATTTTATTTGTAGTTAATATTTCTTAATGTGTTTTCTTTATTGTAAATTACAATCAGAATTTTTTTCCCAAGTTGACACCTGGAATGTAAGAATCCAAGAATAAGCTAAAAAGCGAATATAGTTCACCAATCCAGAAGAGTATTGTTTTTCCACCAAAAAAATCTTAAAACCCAAAACATTGCCCTAAAGATACTTTGTGTTTCTATAAAAATTTAATAGCCTGCCCTTATTTTTTCCCTCTGCTTTGAGAAATTAATGAGTGTTCACATCTTTAATGCTGTTAAGTAATTAATGAGACCTGTTTGTCTTTGATTGATTAAAACTGAATATTATCAATGAGTAGGGCTGACAAGATCTTGTAATAGTTCACTTGTGAACTTATTGACCAACTAGCCTGAAGCCTTTGCCTGTCCTGTTTTCCTTTACAATCAGACTTCCTGTTGGTTTTGTCTGTTTAAATTTGCCATCTCAGTTTTACTCAACATCTCATTGTTAGTTCAGCAATATGTATGTTTAATTTAGAGACTTTAACTAATGGACTGTAAATACTTAGTTTTTAAAGCTGTGTTCTTGAAGCCAGGTTAAAAGTTAAGCAGTTGCAAAGTATTTGGCTGAGGCCATGAAGAATCACTTTCTAAAGTCTTAGTCTCTTCCTCAGCTGCATTTATAGAGTTGACTGCAGTACTAGAATAGAGGAATGATGTTGGTGATCAAATGTGGGTTTTTTTAAGAAGAAAGAATACTTTGAGGATTTTGTTTCTTATTTAAAGAGCCTAATTTTTTGCCTTTTTTTTTTCTTTTTCAAAGACAGAGTATGAGCTTTTGCAAGAGTTGTACCATTTCAAGAAGCCTCATAGAAACGCAACAGAGGTATGTTACTTCCTTGGGGGTTGTACAAGGGAATGATTCTTTGATTTACCTGATAAAAATGAGTTATGAGAAGGAAAGAACCTGTGACAGGTGCTTAATGAAGTTGTCTTCAATTAAGCTATGCAGCTTGCTGAATGCTAATCAGCAGGATCTTAGCATTTCTTTCCTATTTAATGTTTTGGTTAAACATGTGAGTTGCATAAATATCTTGCATGAGTGTGAAAGTTATTCTGTAAACAAGTGTTAATTGACAAGAAATGAAAACACAGTAAGTCATCTGCCATCATGTTAATTTTGTGGCTCAGTAGGGCTTCGGTTTCAATCTTTTTTGTTCTGGGGTTTTTTTGTGTGTGGTTTTTTGTGGGATTTTGTGTTCTGTGGTTTTTTGTGGTTTTTGTTTGTTTGTTTATTTGTTTTTCCCCCCCTCCAGTCTCTCCCCTTCCTTGCCCTAGTTATTCCTTCATAGTCAATGCTGTGTGGAATGCTTAGATGGTATTTTACCTCTTTATTTAGGTATGGAAAAGATGGTATTATACCACTGTAATGTACTTCTAATTTTGTGTTGTGTGCTTGTGAACCATGGAAACGTAATCCTGCTGTAGCTGCCAAAATAGCTATTCAGCCCTGAGCTGAAACCATGGAACAGCCAAATTAGTGGTCATTACACCAAGTAATTTCTAAACAAGGTCTTGTCTTTGCTTCCATAATCTCATCTGAACCCTATTACAGAAAGATTCAACAAATATAATTATCAGAGATTAATGAATCCTTTACATCTGTATGAAGAAACTGAGATGTGGAAGATTGTAAAATTCATGTTTCTTAGCAATAAAAACAGGTGCTTATTGAAAAGTAGGTAAATGTAAAGAGGGTAAATGCTTGGTTTTTAAGTGCTCAATATGGTTTCAGGACATAAATTATATACAAAAGTCAAAAATTTGTAGGAGGCAACTGAAGTGGTTAGCTCACAGTGAGTACTGGACAGGTATAGAGCTAAGCAAGGAAAGGCTAGTTTCATGGATGGTTTTATAGTGAGACAGTGAAAGGATTTGAAAGTAGAAAGCTAGTGAACTTCATGTTTTTTGAAGTATCAGAAAATGTTCTACATGTCTAGATTCTTAAAAGCTGTTTTCATAGTTTCAGAATACAGTTAGATCTACATTGCTATCATACTGCAAGATAATAGTGTGGTGTTTAGGGCTTTTTTGTTGGGTTTTGGTTTCTAAGTAGTAGAGAGGGAGACTGGACATGTCTTTAAGGTTAGTTACTGGTGCTGGTTAGAAAAGCATCTTACTCATACCCCAGGATAGGATCATAAAGCTGTAATTCATAGAATCATAGACTGTTTTGAGTTAGAAGGGACTTTAAGGATCATCTAGTTCCCACCGCTCTGCATGGGCAGAGACACCTCCCACTAGACCAGGTTGCCCAGAGCCCCATCCAACCTGGCCTTGAACACCTCCAGGGAGGGGGCTTCCACAGCTTCTCTGGGAAGCCTCTTGCAGTGTCTCACCACCATCACAGTAAAGAATGGTCAATAGCCACAGCTCTTAAGTATTAGCCTGAAGTTGACATCACGGGCCAAAAGAATCAGCATCCATTATATGATACAGCCAGCAGAATCATAAGAGGGAATTTTTATGTCCTTAATTGTTACTCATCTGTTCTAATATGCTTTAAAATATTTTTCCTTCACACACCACTGCATTTTAATACCAAATATGCCACGCATTGCTTCTCATTTGATGTTATGTAGCATCTCCTTCTGCAAATATTTACATGTACAAGTGTATTTGTGTATGTAGCCTCACTCCAAGAAGACTGCCTCCTAATGTGTTCTGAACTTTTTAAGAAGGGGCATAAACCTTTTCAGAGTCAGAGCAATAAGTGACATTTTAATTTAATTCCATGTTTTTTGAGGAACACAGAATTGAAGCCTCAGAGCATCAAATAGTCCATTTTTTTTGTTTGTTTGTTTGTTTTTTTCTGAAAATGCATTTGATTTAATAGTACTCTTTTTTAAAAAACTTAAAACATTAAATTCTCCTTTCATTATAAAAATATAAAGCTTGCACTCACCTGAGCATTTCAGTGCAATAGGAACAAATCCAACAATTAGTCACATATAGTTTCTTAGCTCTCTCCTGTATATTCTGTCAGAATGTAGGTGTGACTGTTTTTTAATTTATTGTGGGAAAGACAGAGCAAAAAGAGGTGATTTATTCTGAAATACAATAGCTGGCACAGGCATTCATTCCCACTCTCCTGAAAAGATCTCCTGTATAACAGTTCAGTTGTTTCTGATTCCACATTTCCAGTACATCAATAATTTCAGAATGCAAACCATTACCTTCTACCTCTTTTTTTCCCCTAACTGATTTCTATATGTGCTTAATTAAAGGAGAGCTTGCTGGACTGTGTTGAAAACCGTGTTCACCAGCTAGAAGATCTGGAAGCAGCATTTGCAGATTTGTGTGATAATGATGATGAAGAGACCCTACAGAAGTGGGCTTCATATCCTGGGTAGGAGATTTCTAAATGGCTTAAACTGCAAATAGTAGTTTGGGAACTGTTTAGTCCAGCCCTTTGGTAACAGAAAAGAAGAGAGGATGGACAGGAGCTATACAAGGCTACCTTTTTTCCTGTAGTTTAGTGGAGAGTGAATCAGACAAACCAAAGAAAAGGCAGTCTGTTGTTTTCAGTGCCACAGTAACCCTTCCAAGATCAGCCTTGTACAGCTTTATGCAAATTTTGTTATCTGTGGAGGAAAGCACATTTGGTGACTAATAATGTAGTGATAGATTTGAAGCAGAGCTCACAAAAAAAGTAACAAACTATGGAGATTATGGAGAAGGACCTCTTCAAGTGAATGAAAGGCTATACCTGAGCAACAGTGTCAACATAACATCTTGGCAGCATCCACTGTGCTTTTAAACCAAATGTTTTCAGCTGAAAAGGAACAGAAAAGGCCAGGCTTTCCCTTGATAGGAAAATAACACATTTTCCCCATCCAAAGCAGCAGTTACTGCCAGAACTGTGTATACACTAACTACAAGCATTTTCTGTTAAGTTCATATGACTTTAAGCTACAACAGCTTCTCTCCAGGTCTCCCCTAAAAGAAGTTCAAAGAGATCTTGCCAAAGCAGGTATGAATATAGGGTCTTTCTAGGAGGACCTGGTGAAATAGTGCAGTAGTACCAGTAATTTCCATTTTTCCCAGCTGCAAGATGACACAGGGCAAATTTCATCAAATCCTAGGCCATGTAACTTCTGCTTTCTACTTTTTTCAGTCCTGTTTGATTTGTGTTTTAACCACTTAAGCTAATGTATGTGTTTCCAGCTGTTTAAGTAACAAGTTTTGGTTTTGTTTTAACTTCAGAATGAAGTCACTTGTTCAACTAGTTCACAGTTTGAAAACCAGGATGGAAAGCCCAGACTACGAAATGGTAGGTGATTAAGTAAAAGCAGAGAGTGGACAGATTTCAAAAGCATATCTTCATTAGGGAGGGAGAAGATCATGCTTCATTTCAGACCTGCTTCTCGGTTCAGGATTTTGTGAGATTTGGTAGTTTAAATTTTTTTTTATGTCTTATTTGTCAGCTACACTGACTGGCTCAGCTTGTGTCTGCCCTCTGCCGGCAGGCATGGGTAACCCATTGAACCCCATTTGTGATGGGGATTAGGGATTGCAATTCTTCCCCTTGAACAAGGAATTCCCAGTAAATGCGGGTCATAAGCTCGCATTGATTAAGTACCTACCATTTGTACACACTGCCCGTCGCTAAAAGTTGGCGTAACTAAGGGCAAGTCATGCCTGACCAGTTTGGTGGCCTTCTACAACAAGGCTACAGAGATGGTGGATGGTGGCAAAGCAACTGAAGTCATGTGCCTGGATTTGTGCAAGGCGTTTGACACTGTCTCACACTACATACTGGTCTCTAAAATGACAAGGCATGGATTTGACAGATGCACCACTCGGTGGATAAGAGATTGGCTGGATGGCCACACACAGAGTTGTGGTCAATGTTTCAGTATCCAAGTAGAGGCAAGTGACGAGTGGTGTTCCTCAGGGGTCAGTACTGGGACCAGTGCTGTTTAACATCTTTGTTGGAGACATGGACAGTGAGATTGTGTGTATCTTCAGCAAGTTTGCTGGTGATACCAAACTGTGTGAAGTGGTTGACACCCCAGAGGGAAGGGAGGCCATCCAGAGGAATCTTGACAGGTGGGCCAGTGCCAACCTCATGAAGTTCAACAAAGCCAAGTGCAGGTCCTGCACCTGGGTCGGCACAACCCCAGGCACAAATACAGGCTGGGGGAAGAATGGCTGGAGAGCAGTCCTGAGGAGAAGGACTTGGGGATGGTAGTTGATGAGAAGCTCGACATGAGCTGCCAGTGTGTGCTGGAGCCCAGAGAGCCAAACACATCCTGGGCTGCATCAAAAGAAGTGTGGCCAGCAGGGCTGGGGAGGGGATTCTGCTCCTCTACTCTGCTCTGGTCAGCCCACACCTGGAATACTGTGTACAGATCTGGAGCCCTCAGCACAGGCAAGGCATGGAGCTGTTGGAGAGGGTCCAGAGAAGTGCCACAAAGATGATAAAAGTGCTGGACAACCTCTGCCATGAAGACCGGCTGAGGGAGTTGGGGCTGTTCAGCCTAGAGAAGGGAAGGCTCTGGGGAGACCTTATAGCAGCCTTCCAGTACTTGAAAGGGGCCTATGGGAAAGCTGGGGAGAGGCTTTTCATCAGAGGAGATAGTGATAGGACAAGGGGTAATGGTTTTAAACTGAGAGAGGGGAGATTTAGGTTAGATATTAGGAAGAAATTCTTCTCTAAAGGCTGGTGAGGAACTGAAATAGGTTGTCCAGGGAGGTTATTGATGCCCCATCCCTGGAGGTGTTCAAGGCCACGTTGGAGGAGGTTTTGTGCAACCTGATCTAGTGGTAGCGTTCCCTGCTCATGGCAGGGGGGGTGGAACTTGATGATCTTTAAGGTCCCTTCCAACCTTAATGATTCTATGATTACTTACGCCAACTTTTGATTTTAGATCTTCTAAAATTCTACTCTGTCTATATTTTGGCAATATTAATGTGATCTTTCAGGACTGTGATCTCTCAGACTGCTTCCTGTGCAGGAAGGTTTCTTGTCACCAGGGTCTGTCCAAATACTTTATAGGACTTAACATACCTATTTGTAAAAAATCAGAACTATAATCTTCAAGGCATGCACCATAGTCTAAATTCCTAGGAAGAAGTACAGTGTACTGGAGAGAATTATACAATCCATGCCATACAACATCCAGAATTTTATTATTTTTGTTTGAAGAAGTTGGGGAGAAAAACAACTCCCTTGGTGAGGGACTGATATCTTAGAGACTTTTTTACACAGATAATCTATGTCAATTATTCATCAACAGAAATGAAATCTTTCTTTAATTTACATGTAGGTTCATCAGGCTGGTCTGACCTGTGATTATATGGAGCTTCCTCACCATGTTAGCACTGAAGAGGAGATTGAAGGCCTCATACAATCTGTTAAAGTTCTACTAAAAGATATGCCTAAGCCCACACTTGTGACAGTTGCTCGGTAAGACTGTGTAGATATTTTACATTAAAATGTTCAGACTGTGCAGACAAAGCTAAATGATTCTATCAATATAGCAGTGGGTGGCACATTTTAAAATCTGTCTTAAAGTGGAAGTTTTACAGTGTAGTGAAAATTGACATTTAAAAATGTTGATCGTAAAGCAGTGCCAGTGTCTACATAGCTAAGGAAAGGTTCTGCACTAATGGCCTGTTTTAATGTGCTTTAGAGTATCTATCACAGCTTTCAAGACATGAGGATTTAATTAGCTTCAGCACAAGCCTGTGATCAGGCCTTGTGTTTGTTGAGATTGGTAGCTGTCACAGGATCACAGAATCACAGGATGTTAGGGGTGGGAAGGAACCTCTGGAGATCATCAAGTCCAACCCCTCTGCCGGAGCAGGAACACCTAATGCAGAATGCATCCAGACAGGTCTTGAAAGTCTCCAGAGAAGGAGACTCCACAACTTGTCTGGGCAGCCTGTTGCAATGCTCCGTAAACCTCACAGTAAAGAAGTTTTTCCTGGTGGAACTTCCTGTGTTCTAGTTTGCATATGTTGCCCCTTGTCCTATCATGGGGCACCACTGAAAACATTGGCCCATACTTCTTGACAGTGACTTCTGTCACTGGGATTCATACATCACTACTTTCATTATTTGTGCTAGTTAGAGCAAAGGTGGCTAGTCAGTTTGCATGGGCTGAAATGATACCTTTCTAAGTCTTTATCTAGGCTTAATTGTACTACAGATAGGATTCCTGTTTTCAGTGAAACTTCTGATGAAAGTGGTTTTCATCTAGTCAGATGAAAGAGATCTGTATTCTAGAAATCTCTGGTAAAGCTTTGTATGGGGTAAAAGTTATTCTTCTACATCTGTAAGGGTATTATTTGGGAGAATTTGACCAAATTGTTTGGTCATTCTTTTCAAGTTTTTCTACCTGTTTCACTAATAGCATCTGAATTTTTGAATCTTAACTTTCTACTAGTCCTCTAATTAGATAATTTGCTTCAACTTTCACTGCCAACATGTTCTGTGTCAGAGTCACACTCCTAATCTGTTCCAGACTTTTTATTCTGCTTCTTCTACAGTTGAAAGTGGTGAGGAGAAGCACAGGACTGCGCTTTGAAGAGATACAGGCATCAGAGTTTGAGAGTAGCTTCAGCCTAAACAGAGAGCTTTACAAGAATGCAAAATGTAGTGATGGTATCTGTATATGCTCTCATGTTTTTTTCAATTTCTTTTAACAGATCAAGTTTGGATGATTATTGCCCTTCAGAGCAGGTTGACATCATTCAAGAGAAGGTTCTCAATTTACTAGGTTCAGTGTATGGCACTCTGGATGTGCACTTAGATTACTCAAGCACCTCATCTTCTTTGTGACCTATGCGTTGCCATCTAATGCTATGGATTAATTTAAACTGCATATTAGCTATGGCTGTAAGGGAAAAAATACTATTATTTCAGCAGGTGGCACTAGAACCCCAAGTTAACCAAGAGCTAGTTTTGAGTTACATTTCTTTCTCCAAGTCAGCTGCATCGAAGCATTACCTGCTTGACTTTGTTCGTGTTAGTTCTGTTATTATTATGTTTTCTTTCCTGTTCTTGAAATGGGTGTAAGAGAAACTATTTTTGTCCCTAAAATGTGTTTTTTTCATCTGATTGCTTTTAAGTGTCTGTTAAAAATAATACATGTAACTTCTTAAAATAAATTTATTTATTTTGTGTACATAATTTTTTATGCAGTTCGGTGAGCAACAAACATGGTCCTGAGTTGCATTGTACCTTTTAAAAAATTATCTCAATAATGCCATTAAAACATTAGGTTTACATAGTGATCTTTCTCTGCTCAAAATGACCAGGCATCCCCCCGTCATTTCTCTAGAGCAGCTTATGTCTTCTGCCCCATCCACAGAATATAATTTATATTTATAGTCTGTTGCATTAAAATGGTCTTATTTCACCTTAGAGTATTTCATCAGTGACTCAGATAATATCCTTATGTACAGACTTTGACCTGCTATTTTAATTTTTACATCTTTTTGAGTAAAAAAGTATGAATGTATGTATGTATGTGCATGCTTTTATCTGTCGAATCCTGTAGGGAGTTGAATTAATGGTTTATTGAGAAACTAAGATTTAACTGCTCTGAAGTCAGCAGCAAAACCTTCTGTACCAGGTCTTCAGTCATTTCAGTTTTGCTATTTGGAAAATAACAGTTTTAGAACCATGTATTTTAGTAAGCAATCTGGTTCTAGAGAAAACTACCACTTCCAGAGGAAAAAAACCACATTGATTTATTTGGGAATAAAGCTGAAATGGGAAAGGTAAAACATCATCTAGAATATTGTCTTTTATAATAAATAAATTTTGCTTGCAATTTCTTCTGAAATGGTCAAGTTCATTTGTTAACATTAGTATTTGCTCCGCAGAAACTTTGTGCACTTTTGCTGGTTTTTACTACTTCTGCTGATGATGCAAATGTCTACATTATGGTTTGTAAATATAGAATTATTTTAAAATATTTCTTCCAGCAGAATAAGTTCCGTGACCATGTACCCATTTCTCCGTGTATTCTGTCATAAACATGTGGCTACCCTTGAATCCAAGATCCTTAATACTTCATAAACAGCCACAGATTGCTTACAAAAAATGTGGAGTCAGGTTACGTACTGTTTGTGTAAGTGGGGTTTTATTAAGTAAGAGCTTCTCCTTGCAGCTCTTGTTCTAGAAAAAAACCCCACAAACCAAGTCACATTTGATCAAAGGTGTGAGGGTACTTCTGTGCTGTGGAGAATTATCTTAGCCTCACAAAGAGAAGAACACAGGGTGTGATAGCGCAGTTCTGCCTGCCTAACTGATGCTCTTTCCCAGAACAGCAGCTGCAGCAGGTGCCCCAATGCTGGCAGCAAGAGTGCAGGTCAGAGCTGAGCCCCTCAGCCACGGGTGGATGCCTCGGGGAAACCTGGGTCAGAAAGGGCAAAACGCTGCCCGGCAGCCAGGACTGAGGGGAACGGGGAGGAACAGCCCTGCCAGCCCCCAGGGGAGAGCGGGGGGAGCGAGGAGGGGCTGCGGGTGCCCTGGCAGAGATGGCCCTGGAGAGACCCCGGTGGGGCAGGTGTTTCCCTGCAGCCTCTGGGAAGCAGCTGGAGGTAGCTATTTTCATTACCTTACATACGAGCAGGGGAGAAGTGTGATGAGGAAGAAGCAGCAGAGATGATGTTACTTGTCCTGATGACCCACCGTGGTACTTGAAGCTGTTGTGAGCATTTCCAGGGAGTTCGGGTATGTAGGGGCTTTTCCAGGCAATGCAGCCCTTCAGAGCCATGGCTGTAACCAGGGTGACTTCTCCCCACCCTCCGTCAGAAACAGAGTATTAGATGTGGAAAGTATTTGGGTCCATGAATGCTGATCACTTTCTAAGCACCATCTCTTAAGAGTGCAGGAGCAGGCAATTCCAGTGTGTTGGAAGTCAAGCAAGCAGTGCTGGGCTGAGTAGGGATCTTCTAGAACTTAGGCAGAGAAGGAAAGTGTAAGGACATGGGAAGCAAAGACAGGCAACATGGGACAACTACAGAGATGCTGTTTGCTGGTGCTGGGAAAAAAATCATGTGGCCAAACATTAATTAGAGTTCAAGCTGATCAGCACACAGAACAACAAAAAGGATTTAAAAATAGGTTAACAGCAAAGGAGAACTAAGATAGCATTAGTCCATTGCTTGATGAGCTTGGTCACCTCACAAATAGGGATGTAGGCAAAGCAGAGATGTTTAATGCCTTCTTCACCTGTTTTTAACACCCATGGATAGGCTCTGGGACACTGGAGCCCTGTATTGGAAGACTGTGACTGGAGAGATGTTCATGACTTGCTGTTCCAGCTGGATGCACAGAAGTGTATGGGGCCCAATGTGATTCATCCTAGGGTACTGAAAGAGCTGGCTGATATTATCATGGGACTTCTTTCCATTATTTTTCAATGGTCTTGGGAGTATGGAGGGGTCCCTGTTGGCTGGAAGGTAGTAAATATTGTCACAGTTTTCAAGAAAAGTAAGAAGGAAGACTGGTAGTTACTGGCCTGTCACTCTCACTTCAGTACCTAGTAAAGTTACAGAGATTATTCTGGGAGTTACTGAAGACTACTAGAGAATCAATTCAGTCATTGGTCATAGCCAGCATAGGTTCATGAGGGGAAAGTCCTGCTTAACCAACTTAATTTCTTTTTATAACAAGGTCACCCATGTAGTTGACCAAGGAAAGACGGTAGATGTTGAGTTTTTTTAATTTGATCAAAGCTTTTTGTATTGTTTCTCACAACTAGACACATCCATAATGCCTTGAGGGAACCAGTTGCTGACAAGTTGGGCTCAAAGAATGGGGTTGCATGAGGCTGGCAGCCAGTCACCAGTGGGGTTCCACAGGACTCAATTTTAGGACCAGTGCTCTTTAATGCTTTTCTAAATTATCTGGGCACAGGAACAAATGTACATCGATGAAGGTTGCCAATGATACTAAACTAGGAGGAACTGTGGATTCACCTGAGGGTAGAGAGGCCTTATAGGGATATCTGAGTGGATTAGGGAGCTGGGTACTCTCCACTGTATAACATTTAACAAAAGCAAGTCCCAGATTCTCCACCAGGGATGGGATTATTCTGTTCATACATACAAACTGGGGGACGAGAGGCTGGAGAGCAGCCCCGCAGAAAGAGATCTGGGGATTTGGGTTGATGACAGGTGGAAAAGGAGTCAGCAGTGTGCCCTGGCAGCCAAAAGGGTCAACAGTGTCCTGGGGTGCATCAGCACAGCATAGCTCACCAGTTGAGGGAGGTGACTGTCCCACTCTACATGACACTGCACAGCCTCAACAAAAGTACTGTGTGCACTTTTGGGCTCCTCACTTCCTTTGTGGCTATAGATTATATTTATTATATGTGTTATATGCATTATATGTATTATATGTATTATTATTATTATGTTTATTATGCTTATTATATTTATAGCTATCTGGTTAGATATTAATTAGATTTTAGATATTAGGAAGAAATTCTTCACTATAAGGGTGGTGAGGAACTGGAATAAACCGGGTGCCCAGGGAGGTTGTTGAAACCCCATCCCTGGAGGTTTTTAAAGCCAGGTTGGATGAGGTTTTATGCAACTTGGTCTAGTGGTAGGTTTCCCTGCTCAGGCAGGGGGGTTGGAACTTAATGATCTTTAAGGTCCCTTCCATCCTTAATGGTTCTGTGATTCTATGAAATGCCAATGGACACTTTTGCATTTAACATTTTACTTATTTCATCCAGAAAAGAGTAAGGTACATTGTAAAGAACTTGCTCAGGATAAAGGAAAAGGTTGTAATTAAATTAACTGGAAGTGTGCATTACTTAATTAAGACACTTACAGTTAAAGCATGTTATATCCTTGTGTTTGGAAAAATGAAATTACTAGAAATAAACTCAAGCCATTTTTGTACAAAAAGGACATTAAATAAATGTCATGAATTTATATTTTTAAAAATTTAAAATAAATTTTATCAGCTTTTAAACACCATCCTGAAGGCATCAGGATTATAATTAACTCAGTTTAAACAAGTAATACAGTAAGTTTGTTGTGGTTTTTTTGCAAGGAATGTGCAGCTGCTAGTTTTAAAAGACAATTTGATTTTAAGTAGCACCTGTAACAGCAGAGTTATTCATACAGGTGTTCAGGACTCCATCAACCTTGGAAATTTGAGAGCCAATGGAAACCCCAGGCAGCATAGAGATCAATATAAATCCCCAGGCTTTGCTGCAGAGGAAGCATTAATGACTAAATTATTGATAAAATTTACCATGCTCTACTCCATATTATGTGACTTAACTGGGGCTTAGGATAACAGGGCAATGACTGGCTACAGTAACACAGGCACCAACTAGCTTAGACTGTAGCCTTCTTGAAATGACCTGGGAGATGTGCTGAGCCCCTTTGGTGCCTCAGCACATTAAAAGTCACAAGGGAAAATGCATAGCAACCTTGGGCTTACAAGAGGACTGGGGAACACCTGACAGTTCCTCATCATACATGACACATACCCCCATGCACTCAGGTCATTCCTGCCTCAGCTGTCCCTCAGGAAACATCAGCTTTCCCCTGGAATCATCAGCTGTGCAGAATTTTAGAGGTATCAAGGACACAGGTATCCCTCGATCTTGCCAGGGATTGCTCTGTGCTGGTAGACTTCCAGCCTCAGGATGCAAAATAGTGAAGATTAACTCCTTGGTGGCTTACACCTCCCATGGATGGGCAGAGTTTAAAGATGTAGAGAATTCAAGTTGTGCTCACTGACAGAAGCTGATCTAAAAGGGGAATGAAAGAGAGGGAACACTTCCCTGCAGCTTGAGTAATTAG